GAGAAGAGCCACTAGGATGATACCTGGAATGATGGGATTGCCCTATGAGGAGAGACTAAAATCTCTTAAACTTGTTTTCTCTGGAGAGGAGAAGGATCAAAGGGGATTTGATTGAAGTGTTTAAGATTATTAAGGGTATTGATTATATAGATCCATCAAATTGTTTGTGTTTAATAGTAAAAACAATAGAATAAGGAGACACAAATTCAAATTTTAGCAGCGTAGGAATCATCTGTAGTTTAGACAGTTTTACTTTTAAAACAGGGTGGTTGGCTTTTAGAATGAGCTGCCTTCAAGGGTGGTAGAGGCAGAAAATTTAACTGAATTCAAGAAGAGATTGGATGAATACACGAATGATAAGGGGTGATTATAGATGGGAGCTGGAAGGGACATCCTTGATGGGCTAATAAGCTCCTTTTTGTATCTTGAAAATTTTATGAAATTTCAATTATCAGAAAGTTATAATGTTTCTATCTAATCTGAGGAAATTTTATTCAACTAACATGTTTTGTATATTGAAATGAGCAAAAATGCTTTTTAGCAGTAATAGATTTTTTTTTTTTGACTGAACAAATGGATTATAAAAATTGATTATTCATGTCATCATTAGCTGCTTCATTATTTTTATAAATGAATTGTAAGTTGTAACTATAAAATTAATTTTCTTTATTGATTTCTACTGTGCTTGTTTTAATTTTTTCACCTCAACTGTAGACTTGTTTAATTTTTTCATATCTAGTTGCAATTAATGTATCTAATAATAATTGCTATTCATTTCTCTACAAAAAACTTTAATTGAAATTTATTTCATCACTTTCTTTTCATTGTAGATTGCAATCACAAGCTTTGTCACATTTCTCCTTATCGATGAAAATAACATTCTAGATGCTACAACTGCTTTTGTGTCCTTGACTTTGTTTAACATGCTACGCTTTTCATTAATAATCCTCCCAGATATGATTTCAAATATTGTACAGGTAAGATGATGAAGGAATTTATCAAGTAGTATTGTTAAAACCTGAAACATAAAATTCAAAATTAATAAATTAGGTCTATATCAGGCTAGTTGATGAGCACATACTTTGTGATCTCCAAAGAAATTTAATTGAGAATGTATCCCCCCCAAAAAAGAGACTGATCAAATCTTTAATTCCTTCTGTAGATACATGTATTTGTTAAAAAAAAAGAACAACCTAAAAAACTCCAGAAAACATTTGCAATATATATTGGAATAATTTTTGTTAAATATTTGTTAGTATTAATGTTCACAGTAACTTAGATACAAAAATATTAAATGGTGATAATTTGTTGAAAAGTTATAGAAAATTCAAACATTTATTTTGTTTTTAGGGTATTTGTATTCTTATGCATAAATTGAATAGTAAACAAGATTCAAAAGAAATATATGGTGGTTAAGTGTAAAATGCTATGCTGATTGTTTACAGACTCGAGTGTCTGTTCATCGACTGAATAATTTTTTTGTCTGTGAAGAACTAAACCCAAGTTGTGTTGGCACTGAAACTGATGAAGGTTGGTTATTTTATGATTTAACACATGTATATATCATTGTTCCAAAATGTTTAAAAGAGTAATATACATTTTATGGTTATGTATAACTGATAGGTGGATATTTTAGTTTGAAAATGTTAAAACTGCAAAGTAAATATCTATTTTCAATAGTGTTAACATTAAATCTTTTTTCTTCATAGCATATGGTACTTACGGATAGTTGTAGTTAACTTCTGAAGTTTTTCCTAGAATATTCTTGTACAGTTTAAAGTAACTAGTATTATGTGTTATACTTCCAAACTGGCTGTATGCCAGTACCTTTGTAGTAGTAATTAATTTCAAAATATTCATTGTCAATTGTCTATTTTTCTTCAGTTTCTAAACATTAACTGTGTAACTTGTTTATTATTTTTAATCAAACAATTGTATTATATAACTGTTTCTTGGTGAAACATTTTGACCCTACTGTCTTTATTTATTGCTATGGTTTTAAGTAACATTTAGAGTACATGATCTTAACCCATCAAAATATTCAGAGTAAATTTATAAAATTACTTATCAGTGACCAGTTGGTTAATAGTATATGAATTAATATTAGTTTTAAATTACTCTTTAGGTACACTGGTAAAGTATGATTTCATTGGAGGCTGTAGCTTTGAGTATTATATGTATAGAAACTGTTTGAAGATTAAATGGAGACACATTTTATATTGGTCACTAAACAAGGTGGTATATTACAAACACACGTAACATTTGTATTAAGTTATTATTGTAATACTTTTCTATCTTAAAAGCTTCATTATATCTTTTACTTATTGCTGAAATAATTGTCTGTTCCAGCTTGTAAATATTTGTTTCAAATGGATGTTAATGGAACACATGTAATTTTCATCTTGGTGAAAATTGTAGGTAAACATCTGTTATAATATTCTTTAGTAATTAATGTGGAAATCCAAAAATCTTAAAATTTTTAATGAATTTTTAATTATTTTTGGTTATTATAGTCACTTTATAGTGGTTATTTGCAACACAAAAGTTAATTTTAAATAGATTCTCATTCAAGGTATTCAAATATTTATTTGTATATGCTTGATTTACAGTATAAAAACAAGTTTTACCCAGGTTTCTTGATCAAAAGTTATATATTTTGATTCAAGTGTCTTAGCATACAATTTTCCTTGCCTAAAATGTTGAAGAAAAATATTTCACCAAGGAAAAAGTGTGAAGTTTTAGCTTTTTCAAAGATTCATTTCCACGGTTTTTCTTCTTGAAGGAGAAGTTATTAGTGTGAATAAAGGAACATGCAGCTGGGAAACCCATGGTGAAGCAGTCCTTAAAAACATCAATTTACATATTAAGACTGGTCAGTTAGTAGCCATTGTGGGGCAAGTAGGCTCAGGAAAGTCATCCATTCTGTCCTCTTTGTTGGGAGAAATGTATAAACTATCAGGAACACTAAATATCAAGGTATGTGACTGTTTTATACTGTTCTGGTTGAATAATTCGTTGTGCCAGCAAACTGTTTATTTACAGTGGAGAAAAAAGATTGACTTTCTAAGTATCACAAAATGATTGGCTAGAATATGTCATATTTATTCTACATTACACACACTCAGCCTTTCTTATGTAGTATATGGTATTAACATCTTTATCTTACTTTAGTGTTTCTTTCTTTTAATTGGTGCATAATTCTACACGTAACATATTCATCCATACTGCAGGCAAATGTATGTTTTTCACAATAGTAGACACTTGTGATAAATGTTACTGTTGTGAATGTTTCGTAATTATTCTTTTATTAATAATATATCATTATCTTATACTCTAAAGCAGCAGATGGCACTTGAATTGTTGACTGAGTGCCTGAATGTTATTTGATGTAGTTGAATAAAGACATATTCTGCTCTGATCTTATTATTATTTTTTCTAATAGCCTAAATCAGTTCAGTTACATGTCTCAGGACCTTAGATTTTAAGTGTGATTGCTTTCAAGTAATATTTTAGAGTATAGTAACTTATATACTGCTTTTTTTTGACAACTTTCAAGAGTCAGTACTATCAAATTTTAAAAGAAAGTTCTGTTTTATTTCTGTTTCATCTTTTAATTGATTGTATTTTTTTATTAAAGAATACCAGATATATTTGTTTTGTGTTATTGTTCAGGAGATGACAAGTTGTGTTGTTTTGTTTCATGTCATTGTTCAAGAAATGACAAATTGTGTTTATTTCAGGGAACTACAGCTTATGTATCCCAACAAGCCTGGATACAGAATATGACTCTCAAGCAGAACATCTTGTTCTGTCAACCACTGAATGAAAAGAAATACAAGAAAGTGATAGATAAGTGTTGCTTAAAGCCAGACTTGATGATTTTGCCAGGTGGTGATGAGGTTGAGATTGGGGAGAAGGTGAATTTATGTTTAAGTTTCCTGAAACATTTCTTTTGCTAGAGTAATGGTAGTTTTGAAAGGAAGGTGTAGAAACCATTAGAAAAAATCTGTTTCATTGTTGGAAACAATTATGTGTAATAAGCAAAAACAAAAATATCATTTTCCTTCAGAATGGAGAATCTTTTATTTGTAGGTATTACTAAAATTAGTATTGAAATTCTCATAAACGTATTCTAAAGAGAAAGGAAAATTACTTATAGCAAGATAAAACTTTTTATGTAAGCAAACTCTTTCATACTAAAATTATTAACACACTTAACCTGTATTGTTATTGTCTTCAATTAAGAAAATGGTGTTTAATGCTCAAGACAGTTCAAAAGTTGTCATGAGTTCCTTTCTTGGCTGTTCAGCTTTATTTGCTAATTTTTTATACCCAAAACTGGTTGAAAATGAGTTTTAGTTATATGTCAAATTGCAAATTCATATGGAGATGTCTTTTAACCAATCAGGGTGAAATATTATGTATTGGAATAATTACAAGTTAAAAACGTAACTCCATGATAGTGAAGTGTTAGAAACAAAAATATTCGAGCATTCAGTAAGAATTTTTCAGTATAATTCAAATTAATCCAGGAAGGGAAATGACTGCAATCTTCACATCTTGCTTTTACAAAATTTTATGAGTCATACATCTGAAAATAGTTTAAATAAAAAATCATATCATTAAAACCTTGTTTGTTATTTAAATAAAATATGAACAAGAATTTAAAATCAGAGGTGATAAGTTAAGTTAATCTTTCAGAAATCATTAAAAAACAAAGAAATATTTTCTTGTTGAAATAAAACTTTTAAATCATCACCTAAATGTTAAGAATTGTTTGGGCATGGAAGTTAAGATTTATTTACAAGTATCTGAAAAAGACTTAATTTAGGTGTTTAGAAGCAAGTTAAATTTAGCATTTACAGTTTTGTCAGCTCTATTTGTTACTGATTAATTAAAAAAGAGAATTATATGTTATTTCCCATTTTTATTTTGGATGCTGTTTTTTTCTACATAAATCATCGTATTACACAGTGTAAAGTGGTGGTGTGATAAAATTCAGTACATTAGGTATAATAAGTGTTAGTGTGTGTGATTTTGTATTGTAGATAATATACTGATTTTTATGATTCTTGCAAAGGTTTGTAAATAATGTTGTATTACTTGAAATTTTTCTTGTGGTAATCAAAATATTAAACTGATTTGTATTTTGTTTCAAACTAAATATTTGTTTAATGTATGGAATTCTACTGAAACACGTTGTACAAGTAAAGAATTGTACTTGATATCCAGATATTTGATATGTAATATTCACAATTGAGATGAGAGTCTGATTCATAGGGAGTCAACTTAAGCGGAGGACAGAAACAGAGAGTTAATTTAGCACGAGCTGTGTACCAGGATACAGATATATATCTGCTTGATGATCCTTTAAGTGCTGTAGACTCCCATGTTGCTCGGAGTTTGTTTCATCATGTTATTGGACACAATGGACTCCTTCAAAAAAAAGTACAACACTTTTATTTTAGAACTGAGTTTTTATTTTTCTTCTTTATTTATTACATTGTTTGTGACCAACTTTGCCCTAAAATTGTTCTGTTCCTTTATATAATGTCCAAGTAGCATTTTATAATTTACTTATTAATTATTTTAATGAAACAATAAGGTTTTACTTCTTGGGATGTTTAACCAAATATTGAAACATTAATTCAAAATGAACATTTTTTTTACATTCTTGGTTTGCATTAGGAAATAATGTTTTTACAGTGCATGCTTATTTGGTTAAACCAAGAAAATCGAATTCTAAAACAGTTTTAACATAAAATACTTGTTGTAAAAATTTCATTTTGGAGGCTTGGTAAATAAAACATTACTTTTTTTGAAATTAATTGTCAAGGTTTATGTAAGACATTTGCACTGGTGAAGCAAGCAAACCTTTATTGCTCTGTGCAAAAAATTAGTTTCAATTAATGAGCTTTTGTTGTCATAGTTCATTGTAACTAAACAATGATCTTTTACACACACACACACATACATACATACATACATACATAAACATACTAAAAAAAAGGTAATACAGTCTTTTTGAAAAAGAAAGTGTAATAGTTATTTATGTTTTTGACTTAAATAAAGTACAAAAAACTATAATACAATAGTGTATTTGTTTGAAAGATGAAAAATGATTAGATATCAAAAATCTACATGAAAACTTGAAAAATGACAGTTTGCTCAGACAGTTGATTTAGAAATTTAGGAAAATTTTAAATCCTTTTAACTCACCATTTACCAACCTGAATTAATTTGAAATATATGAATAATATTGCAGCATTTTGCCAAATTTATTATTATTATTATACAGTGGATGAATTGTTTGATGTTACAGATTCCTTTTCACCAAATGTGAAAAACACATTTTTAATATCATCATAAAACAATTGATTTAGATATTTTGTGGTGTATCCTTTTTGTTAAATTTGGAGTACAACTAAAGTGTACACAGTACATTTGGATGTTTACATTCTGAAATCTGATTTCTTTCCTTGCATGTAGACACGAATTTTGGTAACTCACAACCTCTCAGTTCTACCTGATGTTGATGCTATTATAGTGATAAAAAATGGCCAGATTGAAGAGAGTGGAACATACAAAGAACTTCTTGCAAAGAAAGGATCATTTTCTGAGCTAGTTAGAGAGCATATGAGAAAAGAAGATAGTGAATCTACAGAAGAAGAAAGTACCATTACCAACAGCTGGTTTGTGTATTGTTACATAAATTGAAGTTAACAAGTTTTCTTCTCAATACTTACATCAGGCTGGGGCAACTTTAATCATATAAGCTTTCATGCTTCATTTGAATTCTGAATTAGATCTCACTTCCCATGGCCAATATTCCATGCATATACATTTAAGTGCATAGGTAGATAACCAGATATGGTTACTTGGGTTGAAATCCCAATTGTTTTAATAAATATTGTGGGACTGTTAAAAAATAGTACTGTTGAGTAAATACAACTGCATATATTATCAGAGTTTAAATTCTTCTTATTTTATATACCACTACATGCTGCTCTGCTAACTAAGTTAAAATGTATTTCTTATACATTCTTAGATGTTTATGATGAAAAGAAATAGTATCGGAAATAATTACGATAACAGTGCAGAAAAAAGTGAGAAGTGGGGAGGAACTTAATTTGATTTGGTCAGCTTAAAACATTCTCTGGATCTGTTTTTATACTTCTATTTATTTCTAAAATTTCCAAGTTATTTAGTTTTTTTACCTTTTTTTCACAGATATTCAAAATTTTGTTTTAGATATTTAGTTTCCATAAGGTAGTATGTAAAAGTTTAGTCCATTTTCCTCGATTTTCAGCTATATTATGAACCACATATACAATATTGCAGTCGTAACTCATTAATTGATAAATACCACTTTGGCTGCACATGTATCTTTTGGTTTGGTTTTTGCTGTTACACAATATTTTGACCAGATTGTTTGTACAGTAGAAGGCCAATCTACAGATTTCTTTGTTCAGTTTGTTATATATTTTGTGAGAAGGTTTCTCAATATAGCTTATCTTACATAATTTCTTTCTGTTTTTGTTGTTGTTTGATACATTACATGTGTATATTGATCTTAAGGTAATGGCCTTTAATTTTTTAAACAACAGTGTGTCAGTTAACTTAGTTTTATAACCATTATTGACAGCAATTTGTTTTGTTATTTTTAATTTATATATTTATTTTTTAAATTTTTTTCTAAAACACTGAAACAATAACTGAATGTTATAAGACATCACTAGAAAAAAAGTCCCCATTCTGTTTTTGAGGGAGGTAAAATTCCATTGTAAATATATAAGAATAATTTTTTTTTATGTTTTATGCATAGCATCTTATGACATGGATAGTGTTTATTTTGAAGGTGGCAATCAGCATTTTTTTGTGATTAAAGTAACAAATCTTTGAATTACATTTTTAAGCTTTATGCATTTACCTCATATTTGTTGTCTATATGTTGAAACAACTAACATGAAAGTTTATGTAAAATGTGTTATGAATCAAAATTTTCAATAGTTTTTTTTAATTTACAGTGAACTAGACACTAAGTTACTGCAAGAATCCACTGAAGAAGAAGTAGAAATGAGAGTACGGAATAGGAAAAGACATAAGATAGAGGCTAGTCTCAAAAAAACAATCTCCCGAGAATTGACAAGAGAAGATAAGATAGGGGTACACGATGAGGGCTTGCTAGTGGAAGAAGAGAAAATGGAGCTTGGAAAGGTTAGAAAGACCAATATTAATAGAAGGTGATTTTATTAAACTCTCATAGTAAAGATAGAAGAGAAAATCTTGGTTTTTATATAAGTAGCATTTCAACAATACATTTTTATTCATGTATCTTAAGCAGAAAAAAAGAGTGAAAATGGCAAAAACATTGGAGTATTTCATTTTAGAAGTGTGAATATTATTAGTAAAGTATCATAATCAGAAAAAAGGAATGAACATTGGAGATGTTTTGCATTTAGGATTGTCACACCATATTCTTAAAATAAAATATTACAAAGAATAAAAATATGTATTGTAAACTGGAATAATTCATAGAATTGCTTTATACCACACATTTTTACCAGAATCTTTTAAGAAGAGAAAATTAAGATTAAAAATTGGTATATTTTTTGAAAAATGGAAATAAAATAAATATTTTTTGGCAGACTTCTAATCTTCTTTTGATTCACTGGACACCAACTGTTAACATTATTGTTCATTTGTTTTATTAGAATATTTATCTTAAAATACTTATATAGCAACAACTAATTTGACATAAACTTACTCGTTAGGTGTTTTAAAAATCACAACACTGTTGCATCAGCGAGGTCACGTGACTAGTATCACGCCACCTTTTTCTAGAAATATCCTGTTCCTTCGTGAATTGTCGGGAGACTACTAGATTGGGGGTAGTCTGGTATATATAAGATGGTCACAACGTGATGGAACAACGTGTAAGTGAATGAGTAATTGAATGTATGCAGACAGAATATTGTTGGGCACATGAAACGTGAGTTATAGCGTTGTTATAGAGCGACTGTTGAAATTAAGTGTATCGTAAAGTTGTATTCGTAAAGAATAAACCAGTTTTATTTATCAAAGGACTTGTGTCGCTAAAGTTTAGTCAGAAAGAATTTACGGAAAATTAACTAACGAACGGAGACGTAACAACACAATTACAGTGAACTAGGCACTAACTTACAGCAATTTGTTGTCACTGATTAACTAAAAAGATAATTATTGTAATGTATGTTTGTTTTTCATGTACCACTCCTCATGTTACAGCATTAGTAGTGGTGGTGTGTGGTGATAGGTGTATTATAATAGATAAAAGGGAATAAAAAAATCACTACGTATTTGTTATTTTTATGTGTTTCTTATTTTTACAGATTTGCTTGAATAGTGTTTTTAATATTAAGTAATTGCAGAATTCTATCTATCTGTGACTGTAGGTACTTTTGTGATATTTTTTAATGTGTAACTACCAATTCTCAGAAAGTAGTTTATTATGAACTAATAATTATAATGGTCTCATATACAAGTTTAACTATCCTGTGACAAGTTGGTATTCCAACTGCTCACAACTTTCTGAATGAAAGATTTCAATTAGAATTAAACTTTACTAGCTGATGGTACTCATAAGAAAGCAAAAACATTTATAAAGGACAATGTTAGGTAATGTTCATCTTCTTTCTTTTTTTCTTATTAAATCTTTAGTGACTTTATTAGATGCTAATTGCATACTTTGCTTTGTAGATGGTATTAATTGACTTATTTAACTGATTAAGTACTCGTGTCTTTATATTCAAGGCCTAAAGTCTATAAAAAATGGAAATATGCTCTATTTTAGATGTTTTTTGTTCCTCTTCTCAGGTAAAAATCCTAAAAAATAGCCCATATACAATGTCGGACAGTTTCTGTTTGTCATAAAGACAGATGCAGTAATTGATCATTCTTATAATAGGAAATACCATTTTGGATGGTATATAATTCAATGCAGACAGTAAGGTGTTATTACTTTGAACATTTCAGGTACTCATTTGAGTATCTTTATGTTGACCTTTTCTTTTTATTTAGAGTGTGACAACTCAGAAAGGAGATGGTACACTTTACTTCGACATTATCATCCTGATTGTCAGAATTTACATCACTTATTTTGTCTATTATGAATAATTTTCTTACTCTTTTTATCATCACAGAAACTATTTACATAACACAGTATCATAGCTATGAGTTATGTTTCTTGACTTGGCCACTAAGATTCTTATACCAAGCACATTTTGGGTTATTATGTGAATTAAATTCTATTGTCCAGTTTTGTCCATCCTTCTGTTAGTGACTCAGTCTGTTGTAATAACTTTTATAAATGGTAAACGTCATATTTTTTGCATGAATTGATGGTGGTTTACTCAGTGATAACAAATTATATATTTAATGATATTTACCATATTTCTTATTCTACACGTTTTTTGCTTGTTCTAACCATCTTTGCTCATTTGTTAATTGATTTCATTTAAATTCTGTCACTTATAAATAATTTTACTTTCTTTTATTCCCCCTTTTTTTTTATTGCTTTTATCTTCATGTTATGTATTTTATGTGCTGTAATCATGTACCACAGATGTGTGTGTGTGGGGGTGGGGGGGGGGTAGGTAGGAAATTAACCAAGCTTTTCAGAAATATTTCTGCTGAAAGCAAGTTAAACTTGTGGGAGTGAATATTCCTCCAGAAAAATTTTACAATTAGAGTGGCAGTTGCAACTTTTTTTTATGTAGTAATAGCCAAAACATGAAGAAAATAAGCTTAAGTAATCAACCTATATGACCTTATGTTTCCTAAGTCTCTTTATCTTGTAACTTTGACTCTTTATAAGGGCATAGCCAGACTTTTAAAAACTATGCACACAAGATTGTTCACTGGTATCAACAAAAACAGTGATTTGGTTCAAAATATATTTGCTTTCAAAGATATGTGTGTGTGTGTATAGTTATTGCTGGAATGATTGATTCTTATTACAAGATACTATAGAGAAATGTCACTGGAATTGCAATGAGCATAGAAAAACCTATATGCATGTGCATATAATGCATATGCCTAGCTACGCCATTGTTTTATCTTCGATTAACAAATTTATTTTATAATCTATGTATAGGGGGTCATTGTTTTAAACCTCAGTCTAAATTGAAGAAATTACAAACCTATTAATATCTCGGGAAGAGCAGGTACTACTCCTTGTTCTGATGCTTAAAAGAACACTTTACAATGTTATTTTTTCTCATAGGTTCAGTGTTACTTTTATTAGAATTACAGGTGTAGTTGAATTGTTTTTTTATAATATTATAACAGGTAAAGTCCAGTGTTTATCTTCACTATCTGCAGAATGCTACCTATCCTTTAGTGTTTTTAACTATTCTGGGCTATGCAGGATTCCAGGCATGTGAGGTAAGGTTCATTGTTGATTTGTGAAGACTTCATGTAAGTTATTAAAATAGCATGTATATAGGTCCCATCAGTGAACTCAATTTGTTCCATCATTCAAAATGATTTAAATTGTTCTGTAATAACTCTGGCTTGTAATTTGTGTAGTTAGAGGCTATTTGCTCTGTTAATTACATTTAGTATAACTGTTATTTTAACACAGAGGTCAATATCAAACAGGTTTGAACATTGAACTTTGCAAAATTACATTGATAACATAGAAGTCTGTGTGCTGTCTTTATGAAAAAAAAAGAAAATATTTTAACTTAGTGGTCTATTTCTAACAGGTTTTGGCGAGGTACTCTTCATTACATCGAAATTTTTTCCACCAGTGAAAATCCATTATTTTAAGCATTGCTTGCTGTATCACTACTATCATGTAGTATTAATTGAAAATATTTGTTTAGAATTTAGGTCATTGCATTTGTGAAGGTAAAAGATAATTGAAGTTCCCTGAAATTAATGTTCTTCCTTTACTATAATCAAAGGCTAGGAAACTAAACTTACTTCACAGTAACACATGAAATTAAAATGAAGTTTAAAGTAGAGATGTAGTCAGTTAAGAAACATTACAGTACTGTCAGTTTGTATATTTTTATTTTACCACTTTTACTCCACACATCACACTGTGTAGCTTTTGTAATGATAAAAATTTTAGAACATTTCTTAGATAAGTCTAAAAAATTTAACAATTTTTTACTTTGAAATTCGTTAGCTTAACTTTGATAACACAGTATTTCATTACATTTTCAATCACATTAACCCAAGTGCTGATTTAATGACAGTTTGTGGTAAAGGAAAGTAAATACCAGATACAGTATAGATATGCATTTTGAAGGTTCTATCAGCTATGCAAGTACAATATGCAAACTGTACAATGGACAAAGGTACTTTTATTCTTTGTGTGAACATCACCTTGCACTCTGACCTGTCAGAGTCTGAGTCAGATTGGGGTTGTCTATTCACAGACACATCTCGAGTACAAATACTAGTGTAACACATTTTATTTTTTATGTACAGAAAACATGTACATTTCATGAAAAGCTTGTTACATTTTGTGTAGGTAAATGTAGTACACTCGAATTTATATTCAAGATTCCGTCACCAATATAGGGTTGGTTCAATGGACTGATCCAGTGCACATTCCATTAACTAGAATAACATATGAAACTAATTTTTAAAGAACAAATTTTTCTTTACTAATAATAAAAAAAAATATTAGTTTGTAACAACTGTAAAGTTTATATTTTTTTCTTCATGGTACATATAAGTGTTTAATGATAACGTCTCTTTGGTGCATTTGAGGTCCTGCTATTCATATGGTGAAGAATTGTCATTTATGTGAAAGGTTTTTCCTAGCTTAATTCGATTGTTTAGAGATGGCAGTTTGATCATCTGGTATGTTTATGAAACAGGTAGACATTAACAGATAAGAATCAATCAATGCACATGAAAGTTACAATAGACTCGTAAAATACAATGTTTCAGCCATACCCGTACATATACAGTCTCTACAAATCATCATATAAACTTGCATTGTGTATTAGTAATTGGCAGTAAGTTAGACTGAAAAAAACATCAGGAAAATAAAAAAATTCTTTCAAATACAGATCTACAATCTAAATTTCAATAGGGAACAAGGCATAGAAATCAGAGAACTTAGCAATCAACTAATTTCTCAGTTTTCCTTTTGCCCATGCTGAGTGACTTTTCAAAACATTACCCTATGTGCACAGGTAGGGGTTAAAGTGTGCATGTTCTGACCTTGTACAGAGTGCCATTGAACATGGTATTATGAATTTGATGCCAGACTTATCACTTTTCATGTTACCCATTGTTGATTTTGCAACAGTTTGTGTAAGAACCAGATGCAGTATAAAGGAATATTCTGTGGTGTATTTAGATATGGGTTAGAGGAGGCCCAGCCCCAAGGCCCATGGTCTTAATGGCCCACCAGAAGTGATTCATTTCCATTCAATCCATTTCTATGTAAAATTACATGGAATGTAGGGCCCACAAAACTTATTAGCCGCTGGGCCCACACAAACTTAAATCCGCAAATACAATTTGCAAGTTGTATGTGTATGATGGACAAAAATATTTATATTCTTCATATGAACATCAGACAGGCTTTGGTATTTTATAAACATACTACTATTATAAAAACTCTAGTAACACATCTGATTTTTTGCATACAACAGACTTGTACTGTGGACTAAAATCTTGCCACATTTTGCGTGGATATACATAACATAATAAATTCAAAATTATAATCAAGATTACTCCTCCTATACACTGTGCACATTCAGTTGATTTATTTTGATTTCTGATTTTGTATTTTATTGAATTACATACACACAACAGTCATGCCTCATAGATGCTCTTCTACTGTTAAAAATTGGCCAAATTTACCTACATTACAGTGGTGAAAATTGTGTTTGCTGCTCCAACTACAAATATTATCTCCAGAAAACGCCAAGCAGGTGAATGAAGGCTGTTAACACTTTTAAATGATTTACAACCTTTGATTGATTTATGCTTATTTCAGTAAAGTAAAAATTAATAGTATAATGAGGGACGGTTATTCAAAATTCAGGTCATGATCATATCCTTGCACAAAACTGAAATATTATTTTCTGTTTTTTAATTATTTTGTTTCATGGAACTTTAGAGAATACTTGTAGCTTAATTTTTACAGCCACTGCACTAGCAGCAAACTCACAAAACTGAAATATTATTTTCTGTTTTTTAATTATTTTGTTTCATGGAACTTTAGAGAATACTTGTAGCCTAATTTTTACAGCCACTGCACTAGCAGCAAACTCATAAGGCTATAAGGAAATATTGTCTGTACCTAGTTTTGTACTCTTAGTTGTTGCTTCTAACATCATGTGAATATTTTTCTATACTTGATTGTGTTATCTATACCTGTTTGTTGTTTTTAGTATCAAAGTAAATAATTTCTATACCTAGTTGAGTGTTTTCTAATGTAGGTGGGTGCTAACATGTGGTTGAGTAAATGGAGTACAGATGAGCCCCTACCAGATGGAAGTCAGGATATTCCTTTGCGCAACAAGAGACTGATTGTGTATGCAGTCTTGGGAATTTCAGAAGGTGATTTTTTTTCATCAAATTACTTGATAATTGTAATACCTTTGTGTGTTACACTTCACTAATGTTATCATTTCACATCCTCTTATAAATATCAGCATTTTGTATGTGATTTTCAAGTGTAGTTATATGTTACTACTACTTTCCGCTCAAGTATTTTTACTAATTCTTCCATTAATCGTATGTATATCTGTGTTACAGTTTAATTTCATTAAGTAATTTTTAGTATTGCCCAGTTATGAGTGAGTTTGCTAGCTTTTACACTGATTGTTGAATTCAATCTCTGTTTAAATTATGTTTTAATAAATTAGGTAGAAAACTACATGTCAGATTTTTGAAGATGATTAAGTAAAATATAAAGAAAGTCACCCTGTTCTTATTATAAAAGATGGACTACTAGTTATATTTGGAGTTCAATGAGCTATTTATTCACCATTAACTCTTTCTTTTTTATATTTTTTTCAAAATATATTTTATAAAATAGCTAATTAAACTTTATGTAAAATTTTCCTTTTATAGCTCTTTCCATTTTATTTGGTACCATCATATTGGCTATTGGAACTGTACAAGCATCTCAAGAATTGCATAAACGTATGTTGCAATGTGTCATAAGAACACCGATGACCTTCTTTGACACAACTCCTCTGGGACGGATTTTAAACAGGTTTTTACTGTTTACTGTTTTACTGAACATATGTGAATAGTATTTAAATTTAACTGAATGTATAGTATGAATATTATCAACTGATTAATAGTGTTTTATTAGGAATGACTAATAGCAGAGTTTGTAACAGTTTCCTTTTCAATTATATTGTTTTACACTGAAATTGAAGACTCAAAATGTATATGTAGTCTAGTTCATTACATACTTTGTGGTCTTTGTAACAAAAATTATATACCATGATATGTTTCCTCCAGTTTCAATTCTAATACTGCATAATGATTTTTAAGCTAATTTTGTTCTTAATACTGATAGTTTGTACAATTTAGTGATTTGTTAGCTTCGAAAGCATATCATTTTGGTATATAAATTTAATATGCCTAACATGGAAGTATTCTTATATTTCATCTGAGCTTTTCAACAGATAAGATTCAACAGGAAGATTGTGTCAGTCTACAGACTATCATTTAATTCTATATTTTTATGAGATAGTTTCACTCATAATAAGTTAGAAAATGGACTTATGCTAATGTTCCGTCAGCGAGGTCACGTGACTAGTATCACGCCACCTCTTTCTAGAAATATCCTGTTCCTTCAAGAATGCCTTAGCATTTACTAGATATGTGTTAGTCTTGTATATATAAGACGTTCACAACGTGACGGGACAACAGTGTAATGAGTAATTGAACTGCAGTCAGAGAATGTGTAATTGAACTGAGTATTGTCGAGCACAAGCACGTGAGACGTTCTTTGAGAATTATAGCATTTTTATAGAGCGACTGTTGAAATTAAGTGTATCAGTAAAGTTGTATTCGGAAAGAATAAATCAGTTTTATTTAAGAAAGGACGTGTGTCGCTAAAGTTTCGTTGGAACGAATTTACGGAAAATTAATTAACGAATGAACGGAGACGTAACACTAAGAATGTTCGATTAGTGTTCTTTCAGGTGGAAATATACATGAAAGATTGGAAATAAATTATGAAGGAAAAGTTTAAGTATTTATAATAAAAAAATCTTTCCTTCAACATAGATATCAGAAACATACAAGCACTACTTATGCACAAGAGAGACATTCCTTACCATTATAATAGATTCTTAGTATGTGCTGAAGATGAAAATTGCAACACAGAATCCTCTAAAATTAAATCTTTTGGACAGAAATAAAATTACCGAAAATAATTTTCTATTACTATTTAAGAAAAAATAAAAAGGCTTATTGTATGCAAAATACTCCATCAAATATCTTTGAAAAATGATCAAATGAATGAGGTTGACAGTTTATCAAAATCTGGTGTTCTTTTTGAAGAAGCATATTTTTCTAATGATTATGGCAAAAAAAAATTTCCAAAAGTAGTTCTTACAAAGAAAATCATAAAAATTCCTGATTAAGTTAGCAATTCATAATTTCAGACCTCAAAGCTGAAAAGAAAGTGTAAATATGAGCTATTCTTGTGCTTTATGAAAAGAAGTAAATTATTTGAAAAATGCCAAACTGTGCCTATTGTTAGTTATAACTGTTGATAGCTATATTGCTTAACCTGGTATAAATATAATAATTGTAAATTGAAAAACTTGTTAAGCCATCTATATTATGTCTTGGCATTTAACACTTGAGTTAGGACAAATACTTGTGCTGAAGCAGAATTGGATATCTCTTCTCTTTGAGCTTAAAACTAAATTAATAGCTTCAAGGCTTTTCAAAGAAAGCAGCTGATATAACTAATCAAATCAATAATATACTGATCATATGCCCCAACTTTTTGGGACCCCATTAATTATTACAAACGTTAAAAATACTTGATTTTAAAGGTTTAATGTTTCACAGCTGATAATTGTGATGCTTTTTCTTTTAATTGAGAGCAAAACAGCTAGTATTGCAAAATCTGATTGCATGTTTGGCATGTTTTTATATTTATATGTATATAAACCCTTGTGTTTATTTCTAACAAGATTTGGGAAGGACGTTGATGTTGTGGACTCTCAGCTTCCTATGAATTTTGATGGAGTATTAGACACGACTTTGGCTGTCATTGGCACTGCTGTTGTTATTTCTATCAGTAATCCCATCTTTATTGCTGCTGCTATACCAGTGTTTTTCATCTATTACTTAATACAGGTATTTCTCAGTTATATGTATGGGGTTAGATATATTTTTTTAGTGAAATATTAAAATTTGTGTTATTTCATTTGTCTGTTTTTGCTTTAATATATCTTTGAATAGTATATTTCTGAAATTCTGTGATAAAGGAATAGGCCTGAGATCTTGTAACATTTTGTTTATTTCTAATATTCAGGATCCTTTATATATTCTTATGAAAAATATACAATCAATTCTGCAGAAACCTGTAAATTATGTAACCAAAACTTCATTAGAATACTAGGGCTAGCTAGTATTGTTTTATTTTTGTACACAAATTTTCAATTTTAACTTTTATCCTGTTGCTAACATAGAAAATCTTCATCAGTGCTTCTCGACAAATGAAACGTCTGGAATCAGTGACTCGTTCACCAATCTATAATAACTTCTCAGAGACAATCAGTGGAGCAAGCAGCATCCGAGCATATGGTGTTCAGAAATATTTTATTGAACGCTGTGATGAACGTATAGATGTTAATCAGAACTGCTATTTCCTCGGAATGTGCATAAACAGGTGATTACAAAATAAATTAACTTTTAATTCATATTTTGTAAAATTATATAAAGTTTGCTTTTAAAAAGGGGATAAAAACATGCAAGTTCTCTTTTTAACATTAACTAGAATAGAGTAAAAGTAAAAATTGATTGTAATTAAATATGAGATATATCAGTACAGCCAATAATTTGATTTTTCGGTTTGCAAGTACTTTTCTTTCATTCCAGAGATTTTATTATTACGATTTGTTTTATTTTACTTAGTATTCTGTAATGTTATTTATTAACTATCTTTAAGCAAATGCTTCAAAAACAACTTTACAATAGATGTTTTTATTCCAAAACATACATACCTCTGCTGACACTTATAGCTATATCTCGATCTTCATATTTGCTTCCCCAGTGGCACAACGTTATGTCTGCAGACTTACAATGCTAGAAACTGGGTTTCGATACCCGTGGCGGGCAGAGCACAGATAGCCCATTGTGTAGCTTTGTGCTTAACTTCAAACAAACAATCATCCTTGCCATCTAAACATTGTGTTCGCTTGCTCCAGTCTTTATACCCCTTGGCAAATTCTAAATTGCAAAACTTTACATTGGACACTGACACTCTTTCACCCTTCCTCTCCACTAAGAGCCGGTGTTTGTGACTGGGTGGGGTAAGTCTCGAAAAAGTGATTATATTATCTGCATACAGTGCTTGTATACAGTACTGGCATAGAGGGTGTGTGAGGGCTGATGTAAAATAAAGTTTTGCATATTAGAATTTGCTGAGAGCAGTTGAGTGGGATATAAAAGAGTGGAGCAAGTGAACACAATGTTTAGATGGCAAAGGTGAAGATCAAGAAATTGCTATAGGTGTCAGCGGAGGTAAGTATGTTTGTAAATACATTTTTAGAATTGGAAAATGATAACTTTTATTGCATATAATTGCATGTTTTATAAATGTAATTTTTAATATTAAGAAATAAACATAATAGTGTGAATCAACAAAGAAAATTATATTTTATTATGCACTTTACAATTTTGTTTTTAAAAGTGTAGAACTTTATTTTCATCTTTTGAGGCTTCTGACATTAGAAAACAAAAACAGCCCTTCTGTTTGTTTTCTCAGTAAGGGTAATCTGCAGAATTATATCCCATTTGTTGAATGTGATTTTTAATCATATGGTTAACTTTTAGGTGGTTAGCAGCACGACTAGACTTTTTGGGATGTTGCATTGTTTTTATTGCCTCTTTGCTTGCTGCTACAGGAAGAGGAACAGTGAGTCCAGGCGTTGTGGGATTGTCCTTATCATATGCATTAAATGTAAATACTTTTGAATTTTTCATACACAAAATAGTGTTTTGAATATTGGCTTTCAACTGTGCATTTGAAGTACTTTTCAGTTTTTCTCTTGTTAATGTTTAAAACAAATCTTTAGCATCTAATGTTTGATTTTAAAAAGGACATAACACATTCTAGTTTTGTTCTTAATATCAGCTTGAAGCTAAAATAGGTTGAGAGAAAATATTGGTTGTAATTAAGTATGAAATGATATCAGTACAGTCAGTAGATTTGGTACAGTTTTAATTATAATGGACTGCTTCTGCCTGTATTTAGCATGGGACAAAATTTCAGCTTCTATACTGAGGTTGTTTTTCAGCCTGAAGGCTTCAGTATAGAAGCTGAAATATTGTCCCACTCTAGAAACAGGCATGAGCAGTCCATTATAGCTAAAATTCTACTGTGTTTACACTGTCTAAAATGTCCTTGAAACAACAGTCGGTAGATTTGATTTGTAGAATTGAAGTAGTTTTCTTTCAGTTCAGAGATTTTGCTATTAAACATTATTTGATTATGCTCAGTAACTTTATGTTCACTGAGAAAAGATATCTCATTCTGGTTTGGCATAACCTATTTATACTTACTCATTTGTAGAATACCAGGATGTAATGTAAGAGGTCTACTATGTTCTTTGAATTGCAGAAACTAATTGTTATATCCATACAGAGAATTTATAACATGCAATAGGTATAAGTTTTCCATTTTTTGAATAGTTTACATACTTTACTTATAGCATAAGTCTGTTACAAGTCTGACTCATATTTATAGTATTTCAGCTTTAAGTTTCAAATATGAACCAATTTCATACAAAATAATAGTTGCTACCTGTGATAGTGTTATGTAATTTTCTTCTATAAGACTAAAAACAGTTTATTCAATGCTTGTCAATGAGCACATTACTCTAAAGCCAGGGTCGCCAAACTTTTTTCACAGTGGGCCAGATAACTGAGAGAATGATGAGTGTGGGCCGCATAACCATTTTGTTCAATACAATACAGTGAATACACAAAAAATAAAGACGACAAACATGTTTATTTACCAAAAAGTTATCAAAGAAGGCAACGTTAGCAATAAGATAGTTATATCACACCCAGTGCACACATATCCGAATCTCACAAACTAAGCAGCAAAAAAGGTTAGAGAGATTTGTGAAACTGGCGTTTAGCTTTTGAGATATCATCAGTATTTGCTTTGGAATTGCTGCATCCAACCAAGAGAATTACTTTCAAATGTTCAACATCGTTCGATGTGCTGACTTTACATACTACATTTTTGAAAATGTTTGCTCACAGACATAAGTTGTTCCAAACACTGATGCAAATTTCTTCAA